TTTTTTGATGCAGTTTACTTCTATTTGACACATAGATCATGCATCCACAGTCTTGCCAATAAAAAACAATTACAGGTTTATTCTGCGCTGGTAATAAAAAGTTTTTAACCGGTAAATAAAGTTCCTGTCAATTTTTAAACCCTTTTCGCATTCTGTATACTCTTGTAACCGGTAAATTTTGTTACCATCTCATAAGCTGGTAACAAATTATTGCCCCGTGAAATATGCAATGCCAGGATTTGCACAATTCTTCATAGCTGAATTGCTGAAAATTTTAACTGCATTACCAACGTACCTAGAATCGCGGTGACAAGAACTGGTAACATTTCTTGGTAATACAATTTTCCGGTTACAAAATCTTCGGTAACGTGCAGAATAGACCTGTTAGCAACATTCCGCCATCTTGGATTTAAGTTTTTTAGTTTTTTTGAGATTTGCAAGATTATTTTGCATTTTTCGTAAAAATGGTTTAATACAAATATATAGAGAATTTAATTTCCCACATTTGTTACACAAAAGGTTTTTTAAAAACAGCATTTTTTATTGTAAAAAATTAGCAAAAGCTGCGAAAAAATTTTACATTGTCACGGTTTTCGCCATTTTTTTACAATTTCTGTTGAAAATACATAGCATATTGAAATTCCAAAGATGTAGAGAATTTCATTTTCCACAACTTTTGTACCTACATTTGTTTTTTACGTCGCTTAGATCACAGCCGGGAACGCGATAAACATAGCGATGTACGATGCGCCGTAAAACTAGATGTGGCAGATTTAAATCGCCCAAAACAATCATAGAATCGGATGCCGTAAGCATTGCATTTACGGTCTCAAGTAAAGAAACTAGCTGCATATATACTGATACGGCAGAATTAGGAGGGATGTAGCAAAGAGCCAAATAAATATAAGTTTTTCCAGCGTGTACACGTATACATTTAAATTCGGTATATTCAATGACAGGAAGACTAACTTCGTCGGATGGTATCGATGAATGCACCGCAAAAAGAACACTACCGCCGATTCTCCCACGCGGTACCTCCTGTATATTTGATATTCATTTGGAAGAATTTCGGAATTAAAAATATGAGGTTTGAGCCATGTTTCGGTCAAGGAAATAATATTATAATTGCAGTCAAAACCTTTTAAATATAAGTCAGTTAATTTGGTATTCACACCTCTAGCGTGTTGATAGTAAATACTTAAATTAGACTTGCGAGTTAGTTTTTTGAATCCGAATTAAGATTAGAAATTTTAGCTACGTTATTATTACTTTTATTAGGTTTATACTCAAACTCGCGAACAAACGCCCCGGTCGGCCAAAATGAACTATTTAGTAGTGAATCAAAATCTTCGGAAGCTACATCAATTTTAAAAGATGAAATATCGCGATCGTATTTAAAATTAAATTTACGAATAAATACATCTTTAGTTCTAATTTTAGTCGATATGTATGACTTTATATCATCCGAAATTAAATCTAGAGACAAAGATTGATGTTCTCGGAGGAATTACAACCAATTTTTTAACTACTAAGTTAGACAGTGCAGCTTGAGATGTTGATGGCAACACTGTTAAATCAACGGTTTGACTATTTTTAGAAGTAGACCTAGTGGATATGGCTTTAGATATTGGATACTCCAATGCCTGAGGGCATGGAGAAGATAGATTAATAAGTTCCAAGGACTTGGATGGAGGATTTTTTTTACTAGAATCCGTGGCTGTCTTGTAAGGTGGACTAATAACACGCCCACCTTTATTTTCTCGGCTATCCTCAGAGTGTGGAGGGTTGTCGAGACAAGTGAAAGACCTAAATATTTTTTCGTAATGCTTAAATTTCTCAACAAGCACCAACAGATCCTTCCCGATCTCAGAAAAACCATTTCTGGACTGCCTAAAGAATTTAAATAAATCAACTTCAGTTGATCTACATCTTTGACAAGACCAACGAAGACCCTTACCCTCGTTAATAGCGTCTAATACTCTACCGCTCAAACCAGCACATTTTATATGGGCAATCCCATCGCAGAGCCAGCATGACACATAGGAGTCGCTTTTAACGTGGCAATTGGTGTAAATACACGACATGTTTAAAATTATATTTATTTTTAGGTTTTAGAAGCAAAAAAGCAAAACAGTTTTGAAAACGATGTATTAATCAGTGAACTAATCAGCTGGTAAATATCAGTTGGAAAGCTATGTAGCGAACAGTTTTAAATGCACTGTATATTTGACACCTAATAAGCACAACGGAAACAGCTGTGACAAAGATGAAACAGGAGAAATGACAAAAAGACAAAAAGAGCAAAATCAATGTGCACAAAGAAAAACAATTGTACAACAACAATATATTATATGAAACAAAATACTCGGCATATGCAATTAAGAATATCAAGTTAAATACATCAAATTTACAGGAAATTTTAATGTTTTACTTATCTTTAAATTGTGCACCTGAAGTTTATTAACACTTTTTTAATTTTTTTCTTTATTAAGCGTAAACAGCTTTATAAAACACAAAATTTAAACAGATCACAGAAAAACACAGCTTCACAGCTTTGACGTTTGTGTTTGTGTGATATCACAAATAATTGTGAGAAAAATAACTTATTCATTCCGATATAATTAATTTGTGTTTTAAAAAGGTTTTTCTTATCCAAAACTATTCAACTGTATAACATGCCAAATCGGGGGAAAACGTAACAAGTAGAAAATAAATTGCCAAATAAACCACCAGTAGCAAATGTAGAAGTAATCAGCTGTTGAAGGTTGCAAGTTTTTGCAAATTTTGCGTTTTCGTACTTCTGTGAACATTTTATCTCTTTGAGAGCAAGTGCTGCTGGATAATTTTGTCCGCTCAATACGAGTACACATCTAATGTAACGATGAGCCGTAAGAGCTTTACAACCATATACAGTGCACCGGTTTAAAATACAGGGACCATTGATTTCGCTATGTCGGACGAATGCACAGCAGTGCTCCTGCTCTGAAAGTATTCAGATGCTGGTAACAGAGGAAGAGGACGGCCCCCTTTGCGTTGGAAAGACCAGGTGGAGAAGAACTTGGCTTAGGTTGGCACAGAAGAGAAACGACCGGGGTGTTTCTTAGCACTGGGCAAAAATCGCGTTGGCGGTTACAGCGCTAATAAAGAAGAAGAAATAGACAAAGACTCTGTTTAGGCATACAAAAGATCTGTTAGGCAGCATACAACTAAGCTATGTGATATAATTTTGTGAATTGACTAGGTTCGTAATTATGAGTTAAAAGATTTGGGCGTTATATTTAAATAGTTAAAATTTCCAACGATCCAACGATCCATAACTAAATATGCAAATAAAAAAATGAGGTGGACTAGTGACCTTCCACCTTACGAGGCCAGAAGAAAACTGCTAGGGTTGCAGTCCCTAAGCGATGGGCGAATATCCAATTCCATTTTGTTTGTCTTTCAAATATTATCCGGTAGGATAAACTGTTCTGAACTTTCAAACTATTTTCCTTTATATGAACCGCCCATTAATCTGCGTAGTAATAGATTTTAGGTTTATAGGACCCACAAGGCAAACTATATAATTAATGAACCAATTAATTATGCAATAGTTTTAAAAGGATGTTAGATTTTAATGCTAATGGATCATAATTTAGATTAAGGCTATTTGTATTATTCAACTAAACTTATACACCTAAGTTTAACTTGCAAGCGTAGTCTGTAAGAAACCAATGTTTTCGGTAGATTGAAATAAATAAATAAATGAATGTTTAAAATATGCCTATATCTTTAATAGATTTTCATTTCGCATTTCAAAATTATTCAGAGAAACTATTTCAAGTAAACTGTTCAATATGTTATAAAATGTTTTAGGTAACGAACTTCCGCCCTTTTTTTAGAAGAAAATAAATGATTTATTTTATGAAGTATGTATATTTAAGGTAGCCACGATGAAAATTTTAGCGGGCATGTTCGCGACTAATAAGCTCTTTTCTCCTTTTTTAATTTCTTTAGAGCCGAGAAATTTCGTAATTCCATCTCAATTCTGCTCAAACAAGCAACTTCACATCGCCGGACTTCATCTACTAAACTCGCAGACAGCAATGCGCATCTATCGAGAAATAAGTCAAACATTAAATGATTTCGAAACCGTGGACGGCTCATGCAGAGGCGAAGGTGGAGGTCTGGTTACGGGATAATACTCACGCAATTTTGCATGAGGTTTCTTGTTGTTGGTTTGGAGAGCTTTGTAAAGTTTTTTATTCTCGTGCAGACTTATTTGCCGAAGTCAAAGCATTACAAAATGCTGATTTTAGCAGTGAAGTTTTCACGACCTGGAAGAATAGTTCTTGCTCGGTAGGCAATTGGAAAGTATACCTCTTTTCCGGCGTTATTTTCCATATACGCGGAAATTAACTTTTTAAAGCCATGAACTTAGCCAAACGCGTAGAAATACAAAGACAGCGCTGGCGGTGATAAGATACTTCGACTCGATACCCATTGTTGGACAACAATGTAATGGATTAAAGGGCCAGTCAACACTTGGTGAAGTTTTCGGTACTCGGTTGGTACCAAATAATAAGGAAAATAAGAAGATATCACATAGCATACGCAGTACGTGAAAGATACAAAAAATTGATCTTACAAACTAATGTATGCTTAGCCGAAAGCAATAGATGTTGTGTCAATGATGAAAAAAAAATAGCTCGTTTATTGCACATAGCCTTCCTTCGTCCCTTGTGACATCTTGAGAAGTCTTAAGAGGCATGAAATGCCTTCACTTTTTCTCCACAGTATATGTATAAACTATGTGCGTACATATGTATGTTGGCATAAATTCGCACATTGGTCCATTATGCACTGGATGAATCAGCCCAAGCAGCAGCACAGCAAGAATATAAACAATGGAACTTTGTCTCGTTTCGAGCTTTCGAGTAGAATTTAGTCATATGTACATATTTATATACGATTGTATGCAGGTATTTATATATCTGCATTTATAATTATATACGTACGTATATATTCTGTGCTATATACCGAACAATCAACAACGTCCCATTACCAACCAAAGAGCGGTCGTTTCCATCACCTCGCCATCCATAACAGTCAGGGCTTTTAGTTGCGCGCGTCGACCGCCTGACAGAGCATTCGTTAAAATAGTCTGGTTGTGCTCGCCAACCGTGGACTTATTCTCTCCTTAATTGCTTTTTTGCATTTTTTGTTTATAAAATTTTAATAATTGTTTTAAATTTATTTTACTTTCGTTTTGCTTCGTAGTTTGTTTGGTTAAATCGGTGGCGTTTCGTTAATAAAGTGATTTCATATTTTTTGTGTATATTAAGTAAATATTGCGTAGTTGAATTTTTAACTTGTACTCGTATACACAAAATTCAGAAACGGTTTCGCCTGTTGTGACGTGTTTTATGGTTTAAACAAAGTATCTAGTTGTTATATTAGAAATAATATCTACAAAGGCCACCAAAACAATTGCTTGAATAAATAGAGTGTAAAAACGATTGTGGTTAACATCAGCCACTCGTAAAAGATATATACTACATATTGCTAAGCATTTAAGAGACGACAAAACACATTTGCGGTAAGTTTGGTGAGAAAAAAACACTTGTAGATTCCCTTGGCAGCGATCTAATTACATACAATGCAGCCACGTCAATTACTTTACTTCCAGCTCATAACTTGTGGTTGGCAAATTTAATTGTCCGTATAAGCATTTTCTGAGAGTGATACTTTACACAGTGTTGTCGAATCCATTTTAAACATCTGCATATACATATGTACGTACAAATTACATACCTAGATATTATTTTAAAAGTGGCATAACTATCGATAAAATTGCATGAAATGACTTATGTCACTTTCGAAATAAACGGTCCATACGTATCTTTGTACAAAAAATAATTATCAAGAGTTCTCGTGTTTCTTTCTATGATAGACATAATCCTGCAGATAGGTTGCAATCCGGTAATATATAAATTAATTTATTATTTTACGAGATACGAATTTATTCTCAAATAAGTTTATTGTCCATTCAAATATGTACATTAGAGTAGTAAAAGTTTTGTATGGTAGAAAAATAAGATCATCGTTGAAAATGGGGTACCTCTCAGTTTTTTTCCTTTGTTAAATTTATACCAACTTTGAATTTTGTAACCAGTGTTCAATAACATTGAAATGCGCTACTTTTAAACTAACAAAAATAGTGGGATTTTTTATAAAAAGCTATTGTTGCCATGGCAACTGAAACTTGTAAAATTTGTTCAGCTAATTTAAATAAAATGTTCTTAGGCTTCCAAACCAATTGTTTGGTTAATATATGTATGTACAAAATTCTTCTAGGATAAAATATAAACATTTCAACAGCATCCTCTAAATTTAGACTTAGAAACCTAAAGTTTGGTGCCGCACCTCTCTCGGCCCGGCGGAAAATTTCGGAAGGTGCCCGAACCCTATCCCGCAAAATTTAAGTAATAAATTAAATTATTAAATAATTTGAATTTTACTTTTTAAACAAGTGGAAACCCTATTCAAAATGTTTTCAAGCTGAAGCCTTAAAGCTCTTTAGTCTTGCACCCATACGGTGATACATATGTATATCAACTGCCTTATTCCCTTAATTAAAACTGAATTTGATTTTTTAACAGGTGGAAATCCTCAACCCTGTAGTTGAGAGCTTTTCAAAACCATTTGATTGGTTTATCTTAAAAAAAAATGAATAAATTTCTTAAAAGCTGGCAACTCTTTGCGGAAAAGTAAAACCTTATTGTACATTTAATCTGACACCTCATTTTTGGAAATCGCAGGAACAATGCAGATCTGATGAATCTCATAAAATATTCATTCGCCTATTACATACATACTTATATACTAAATAGTACCAGGTTGACCAAGCTTTGGTCGGAATGCATACACTTTTTAAAGTTTACAAGGTTTGGGTATGAAATAATGGTCGATTGCTTAGCTTTAATTTCAAATAATTTTTTTATGTAATGTAAATGGAATTTGTTATTTAACAATACGCCTATCCAATACCTTTTTCCATAAAAATTATATCGAAAACAAATAAGAAAGTCAAAGTCTGGGCGGAGCCGATCATTAAATACCCGGCGCAAATATTAAATATATGTTTTTCACCTTTCCGAAAGCTACCGCTACATGGTAAGCCGGGGTGTATCAATTTTGGGTAAATTAGCGTCCTTAAATTTCGAAATATTGAAGTTTCAAGCGTTTCTAAAATTTACCGGTATATGAAAAGCCGTAATCTTAGTCCGATTTCAATAATTTTCAACGCTTTGCTTTTATTTGGCAGAAACGTATTTCTTGGTAAAGAGTTGTTGCAAGCGTCAATTTAGCTTTAATATCTACTGAAAATTACCGTTATATGGTATGTGGGCGTGGTAATTGTCCGATTTAAAAAATTTTCGGCCATTTGGTATGCTGTACCTAGGCCAACAACTGTTCCTACTACGCCCATTTCTCAAAAATGTATAATCTTAGTTTTCGTCTTAAAATTATTGTAAATATAAATTTTGAGTGAATAATCTTCAGTACTTACTAAAGTATCGCTGTCTTCGCATTTCTGAAAATTACCGTTATATGGGAGCTAGGCTATTGCCCGATTTTGCCCATTTTCAATACCATCCGTCCTACGACCGAAATAAGTAAACGTACCTAGTTTCGTTAAGATATCTTAATTTTTAGTCGAGTCATCGTGTGAACAGACGGACGGACGGACAGACAGTCACCGCCTAATTGATTTCTCTTTTCATCCTGATAATTTATGTATACATTTGTCTATATCTATCTCGATTCGTTTTGCCTGTTACAAACAACCGTTAAACACAGTAGTAATGTAGCGAACACAATCACACACACGCGGCTGTTCGGCCAGAATGCCGGCACCTTGACGTCCAAGAAGAGAAAGGAGGATACTGAGAGGGAGGGAGACTAACTGGTCGGCGGTCGGCGTCGTGGTTCAGAGGGCGGAGATTGTCTTATGGCTAGTGGCGGTGACGGTGGGAACAGTGACGTTCTGGTGATTAATGATGATGACAGTGAGAGCGGAGATGGTTCGGTGATTAATGCTTGAAACACAATACCCGGCGAACGGCGAATTTCGCCGAATTGGGCGATGCCGTCGTTCACCGTTCGCCCTGCTATTTCGCCTACTTTAACAGAATTAGAGCGGTAGCGAAAACAGCTGATACCATTTCGTCGCACTTATAAGTTAAGTGACCATATTTTGAAAAACGAAACCATATTTAGAAATGATGAAATGATAACAAATATAAATATAAGGCAAGGAGGAATTATTATAAATTATTTTATTTTAAGCCAGATTTAACGAATCGATCACTGTATTTTTCAACCATCAAAAATAATTCGTGTTACATGCTGTTTTCTTCTAAATCTTTGAAATTAAAAAAAACATACGGCCACCTTTGGCATGTACTGCCGCCAACGCCCAGCAGAGCGATAGAAATAAATCTATCGCAACGAAACGCCGCCGAGCGAACTTCGCATTTCGCTTTGGCTCAATTTCATATGCCGACGGGCGTTCTAATTTTGAAAGCGGAAATTTCTCTGTGGTGAGTTCGCCGGCATTGTGTTTCCACGGTAATGATGACGACAGTGAGAGCGGTAGCGAGCGTGATGATGGGAAACGCCCACAACACGGGTACTGCAGCCAATGAGAGCGGCGATGCTGATCGTGACGGCAGTAGTAATCCCTTGTAGTATGATGGCCCTGCGGTGATGTTGACGGTGGCCCAAATGGTGGCGAGGGCGGTAGCGACCTCCCGTAGTGAGAGCAACATTGGCCGCCCTAGTTATGACCACGGGCCCGTTTCTGTTACGACGGGGACGGCGGCCCTGAATGGTGATGGTGAGTGGCCGTACCTGCGGCGGCTGATACTCGTGGGGGGGGAGTAACGGTGGCCAAGGGCGGTGAGAGCGTTAGTGGCCCGGCTGTTTGACGAAGATGATAACTTCGGCCCGATTAGTAACGGCGGTAACAGCGGCCCTGGATCGCGATGATGGTAGCGGCATTAATTCCAGCAAGTAACGATCCTCGGTAGCGGTTCGGCCCCCGATGATGACGAAGGTGATAGCTCGGCCCTAATAGGCGGTGGCGGTGACAGCGGCCCTGGATGCTGATGGCAAGGCCAGCGGTCCTGGAAGGTGGCGGCGCTTGGCATCGGCTTCGGCCTAGGGGCGGCAGTGATTTCGGCGGCCCGGTGAATGTGAAGATGGTACTCGGCCCTGGTAAGTAATGGCGGTGACAGCGGCCGTGGATGCTGATGGCACGGTTAGCGGTCCTAGCTGGTTGCGATACTCGGTCGTGATTTTGGCCCAGGGCGGCAAGGCAGCCCATTACCCCCTCTAATGTATTAAATCGTGGCTGCTTGGCATTGTGGGCATAGTTGCCAACTTGGTGCTTTAAGCACTAGATTTAGTGCTTTTTGAGATAGATAAAACCAGAAATAATTTGAAATATTTAAAGCTGTGGCAGCACTGAATTTATAAGAATCTACAAATTTAAGTGGACTAAAATACAACCATGATTGATACAAATCTGAAGTTGCAAACCCACCTTTTAAATTCTATTCGAGTTGAAAATGCTAGTACGCAAGTAATTTAAGTATTTCTTTTTTTCTTATCTAATTATTTGTACAGATTTTGTTTTTTTTACCACCTGAGTAAAAGACATCGTCTCTTGGTGCTTAATCCAAATCTGGCCTCATATTGCTCTAGTACTAGAATTTTGAGATATCCTAACCGCAAAGTGCCATAAACCCGGTGCCTGCTCGCCACGCGGTATTCTAAGTGGGCAGGAGAGTTTGTCTCCTGTCCACTGACTCCGTTTGCAAAATGATGGGTTTGGGGTCTGCGCGAGGCAGTGTTGCCAACTTTAGATTTTCAAAAGGCAACAAAAACTGGGAAAAAAGGCGTTTTACCAAACTAAAAGCACCAAATTTTTTTTAATCAATGGATGCTTTTTTCATAACATTTTGTATTTAACCAAAGCAAAAATTAACAACATTTACAAAAATACATACATAAATCAATACACAAGACGTTTTCGCTCATAACGATTGTATAGCTTCTACACATGCTATGATAACTCATGCTTACGACGTAATACCGAGGTACTATTAAAACTACTATATCTCGCGAAAGAAATGAGCAAAAAATTTGATGTTTTCATTATATAACCTCAAATATCGCTAAAACCCGTGTTATAGCTGAAATACAATGCCGGCGAACGGCGAACTCACCACAGCGAAATTCGCGCTGTCAAAATTAGAACACCCGCAAGCATATGAAATTGAACACAGCCAAAGCGAAATGCGAAGTTCGCTTGGCGGCGTTTCATGGCGATAGATTTATTTCTATCGCTCTGCTGGGCGATGACAGCTGTGCGTGCCAAAGGTGGCCGTATTTGTTTTGTGCTTTCAAAGTTTAAAAAGAAAACAACCTAAACACGATTTTTTTTTGTTGTTTGAAAAATATAGTTGTGGATTCGTTAAATCTGGCTTGAAACAAATTATTTATAATAATCTTTCTTTGTTTTACATTTAT